CGGCACTAAAGTACCACGGCACTGAATCCGCCAGGGGGCTAGTGCCAATCGCATTCACACCGCAGTACTTTCCCTGAGGCAAGATTACGCTGACGTCACTTCGTCTTCTTCTTCTCTGGGTTTACTGGCAGGCCGCAAAACCACTTCACGGCGAGTACAAAAAAAAACGAGAGAAGAATAACTACACGGGGGAGGGGGTATAAAGCCCACCCGCTGTATGAGGCGTTTGTTTACTTTCCGACCTCAGACATGATGGAGTTCATAAGGGTAATTTACAAATAAAATACCCCATTATAACAATGGACTTTATCTTTATGTATTTATTATATATTACCCCCTCAGGCTGATTTTGGAAAAGGACATTAACCCTTGTTTGGTGTTTTTCCCTTATTTATCTCAAACAAATGACATGATAAATTACTTGTGTTTATGTGTGTAAGACTTGTGTTTCTGCCCCTGCCATTGCTGCACAAGGTTGCAACATTGTAGATAAATTCAACCACCGACACCTGTCTGCTCTCACATTCTTCTATTCTGCAAATTTGGGGTGGGACACAATAAATAAAGCTTCGCCAGTTTGTTTGTTTTATTGCACAGTCAAGACATAACAATAACGGCATCACGCTGTTCCAGGTGTGTCGTATGCATGTAAATTGAAGTTAAATAAAAGTGTGAAATGTAAAATAAAATGTAAGTAGTTTCAAAACAATGTAACAGTGGCAATATATATAGCAGCAGACACACCTTAGTGCAAGTTAGGTTGTCAGTATTAAAAAACAGTGGCAATATATATATATAATAACAATAGAAAATCATTACCACTCTTATTATTGTGGTCTTTAATTTTTGTATAGTCCTGCCTGAGTTTCTTTATTTTTACCCGGCATCCGTGTGCACTGTGCACGATTCCCAGCTCAAGTAGCCTAGCTTTTGCGAACATCGCTCAAAACATTTGGAGTTGGGAACTGCTTTCTATAGAAGCTGCTGCATCCCGTCCTCAGAGTAAATTGCCAGAAGCGCCGACACTTCCTCATCATTCCACCGCTCCGGTGTTGTAGTAGGCCTACGTGTGGTCATAACTGCTTTAAAGTACAAAAAAAGTACTCGCTCAGGTATGGATGTGGTTTTGTAGCGAGGAAAAAAATGGCTGCCTAACAAAGAAAATTCAGAGTTTAACGGGGCGTGGTTTGCAATTCGCCAATAGAAATAGAATAGAAATTGGCACTCTTTTATCACCAGGTTATCACCTCTCTAGCAGGGACTGAAAATGGCCAAAAGAGTTCCCGGCACTTAGTAGTCCCGGCGGTGTGAACGCAACATTATTGGTACTAACGGAACTAAAGAACCAAAGTACCAGGGAAAGTCCTGCGGTGTGAATGCGGCTATAGATACAGCTGCGACCCCGGACAGAAGGCCTGTAAATAACCAGGAGGGGAATAACACAGATGGTGAATTTATTTTTATTTTACTGAATTACAAGACGTTTTTGCTATTCAGAAGGAAGGGAGGGTAGAGGCTTTTTTGTTTTCTACTGCAGCTGTCACTTTGGCTGACAAGTTCACAAGAAATTGCTATGGAATAGAATACCCTTGTGGTTTTGAAGCATTCATGCTAGTGGTGTACTGGTTCAATCGAATGCAAAGCATCTCAGATTGTTCAAGCCACATGCTGCGAGTCTCAAACTAGCTGTAACTCACTTTTTGCACATAGCATATCACAGGGAGGGCGAAGCATGTCTGCAACATTTGACACATTCTCTAACCAAACAGTTTCGCTTTTCTGCTATACTGACGTGAGTGGAAAAGCAAACATTATGTCCAGACATGCCAAAGAAAAAGTAAAAAGCACGTAGACAAATGTGAGGATTCCTCGGATGGCCAGTCTCACCACAGCAGACCTCATGTAGCCACTGTGGCCATAATGAGGCAACAGAAGTACACTTCCACACGAGGTCACAGGGTGTAAAGTGATCCAAATGCTACAAGCACAGGATACACTAAGTGCGTCACATAGACATGATGAGCAACAAAAATAGATCCACACGCACACACAAACACACACTTGAATTGGCATTGGCCACGATCAAGACTGCTTTCCAAGGAGCCCACAGACACTGTGCCAGGAAGTGTTGCTGTTTGTTTTCATACTCCCTACAGGACAGACAAAAAGGTTGGGGTCTCAAATTAAAGAGAATCTGCGGTCTGTCTGCATTTTTGGAGTTAAATTAAGAGTGTTTTGTAATAACTTTGGGTTAGGTTGTTATTTAAAATGTTGTTTCAGATTTCCCGGGTAAACTCAATAATCGTTTGAGCTGAAGAGGGCACTTCAGGGCAACAGCTGCCTAAAGCAGCAAGTGGGTGTACAGGTTATAAAAGATAACCCTCAAACTGCAATTTATCAATGTTTCAATTGTTGAAGGGTATGACTTTGAATTCTTGATTAATTGACTGGTCATTTAATCTATATAATGTCAGATTATTTTAATAAAGGCTAATAATACTTTCATCAAGCCTGAAAGTAACACTTATGTTTCTTCCTTTAAAAGTGCAAAAGAGCAAAGCCATAAATACATAATCTACTATGAAATAAGATGCACACGCACCAAAACCTCACAATTAAGAAACTGGAGGATTGACTAATCAATTTGAGACATGATGAGCGCTACAAAACTGCTCAAGACAACATTCGTCAAAAACCAGACTGATATAAAGTGTCTTGTAAGCACTTTGTGGTTTGTGCATGAGGTTATAGGGTGTCATGTTGAGTGACTGAAGTAATAGCTTGAATTAATCAGGTCATCTGACTCAGCTCAAATAGCCAAAGCCGCAGCTGAGGCGTAGCCAACATGTTTGATCTCCCTGCCTTAAATGACTCTCTGTCCTGAAGCTCAAAGGGAAAAAGTGACTACAACAGAGTTTATTGAGTTGCTTTACCCTGCAGCAGGAGGAACTACTAGGAAGTCTTTTCTATCAGTTCTTTGTGTTTGCAGCATTATGAACAGCTTGTCACAGCTCAGCTCAGTTTGTTTTTCCAAAATCACAATTATAAACTCATTTTGATGTATTGTCTTTGCTGAATTGGACATTTTGGATCCATCGCCATCCTTATGGGGGACTACTTCACTAGCATAACTTTTAGATCTACCTATCTATTAACAACCAAAACAAAGTTTAGACGTATTTAGGAATCCCTTCCAAACTTCTAAGAGGGCGACATTTTGTAGAGGACTGAGGGGTCTTTGTATGGAAAGGTCTCATGTCTTATGGGGTAGTACAATGTGTTCACTCCAAGGATCTCATTTTAACAAATCACGAAGAATAATGATGGACTCTGAACTTGTCTCCCAGGCAAAGTGACACAGATTGACACAAAGGCGTATACATTATACAATAACCAATAAATGGCAGGTTTTATTTTGAGATTATTTCTGTTTGCGTTAATGCATTTTAAGGTGCACCTGTTGTAGTCATCACCTAAAAACTATCCAAAAGTTATTGTATTTCCACATTATCTCATTGTGGATGTTTGTGGTGTTACAATCTGTGGTCATAACATATTTTGGCAAGATGATCCAATGTCTAATGATAAGGTTACCACAAAAAGACTTAACCATGTGAAGCGGAGTCATTCTGCTCATCATGTGTTGTTGAATTATGATAACTGATTGTTATTCACAGTTTTACAGTGATATTCAATGTCTCCCCAAGTTATTACCTTAGAACAAATTCAATACTGGATTACACCATTACATGTATAGCCTTCATATTTCCCACCACTATGTTCATTGTTTCCTCATGTCTAACTGAAAAGCCTCACCCAATCGTTGTTATGCTCAATCTGATTTTTAACTCCATTAGACCTTATTATTAACTGAGCGTTGTGTGCAACATGTTGTCAATATAACCACAAAAGATTCAATGTGTGTGTGATCTATACCACACACACACACACACACACACACACACACACCACACACACACACACACACACACACACACACACACACACACACACACACACACACACACACACACACACACACACACACACACACACACACACACACACACACACACACACACACACACACACACACACACACACACACACACACACACACACACACACACACACACACACACACACACACACACACACCACACACACACACACACACACACACACACACACACACACACACACACACACACACACACACACACACACACACACACACACACACACACACACACACACACACACACACACACACCAAAGTGGTACCAGGAAGCTTGGATCTAAAATAAGGACGCTGGAGGAAATACAGCTGTGCTCTTAGACTCCCAACAGACACAACAGAGAGCCAGAGCTTCAATCAGATCAGGCACTGCTATCAAACCTTGTTATTATCTCAGGAGGGAAAACATAAACTGAAGTCTTTGTGTCTTCCTGTGTCATAAACCATGCGGCGTGGAGTTTATCGTATAGCCCTTACATGTGAAAGAGCCCATTCAAAAAAAACAAAGATGAATGTAAACAAAGTGTTTTTCAAAGGAGCTGCTGACCTACAGTATGTGGCAGCATAGGAATCCTTGCTGAGATATGTCAGTGATATACTGCACGGTAAACCACAGTATCCGCCACATCTTATCTGCATGGTGCACTAAGTGGCACTACACTGTAAAACGTCACTACTGGCAAAATCAGATAAGCAAATTGTGTGCGGCTCACCGGTGCGAAATGTAGCCTACAAATAATTACAACTTTAAGAGTCATGAAAAACAGCAAAACAAATTTCCGACGAATAAACTGCTGAAAGGAAGGTGATTGTACACCTACACTAGCCCAACACACATTGTATCCTTTGCAATACTACCTAGTTGAAATATTGAGTCATTCGAAACTTTTATACGAGTAGCCTACGTAGACAGTTTTACAACTATGTAAAACAAAAGTCTGCAAATGGTAAAACACCCGATATTATGTAAAGGAGTACTCACCTGAAATTAAGTTGTGCACACAGCCGGTCCATTTACAAACTGTATCATCTACTGTCGGACACGTTATTGTTCACTTTACTCTGAGCGACAAAAGCTGCCGTCAGACCACGCCCATTCCTGCACCGACCAATGGCGTGCCACCAAGGCTTGCCAATCAGAGCTCTTATCCATAATTTACAACGCAGGTTTTTCAAAATAAGATAGATCCATTGCATAGTTGATATACATACAAATACTTTATTGCATTTATAATATTTCCATCAGAGAGCATTTATCTGAACAGAAAAGTACCTAATTATCCAATCTAATGTTCAAGTGCTTCAATTCTATACAATATATGTGCAGTGCTACTTTTTTCAGTCTTGGTCAGGGGATCAGGTTATTATCTCTTTAGAGAATATAAAAAATATATATTTAGTTAAATGTCAAGGTTTACAAGTATGCAAAGTGCAATTCATTTGTTTTTTATATAAAGATCTTTTTAGCACCACAATATAACATCAACAGTTGATGAAATAAAGGTTAGCACTCTGCAAAAGCTAACATAAGCTATCTCTACATAAATTACATTTATGTTACAAAGTGATTCTTTATATTGTGTTTTGCTAAATCTGGATTGTGAAAGTAATCTGTACTTCATCTGAAGTCAGTTAGAAAGTCAGCAGCACCCCCTGCTGGTCATATTTACATTGACTTCATTGTAACTCCTTAGGAGAAATGTTATCACTTAAGCCCATGTATAACAGTCATAAAACATGTTGGTGTAACATCCAAGTAATTACATGCATACAGTATTTTACAAACATATTATTTACATTCTCAGATATAGTCGCATAATCATTCCTAATGGAGGCGTCACAGACTGGTCAACAGGTGTACAATGTTCCCCTGGTTCCTGTGCCCATGTTGATTGGTCAAGAGAAACCTTTTCCGAACTTTGACACCAAGATGATGTCTTCCTTTTTACATCCAACTCCTGATAGTTCCGAGGTTTATTTCTACATGTTCATGCCAGTTTGGTTGTCATCTCACCTTCAAGCCTGAGCTGCAGATTAACCCTGTTTGCCCAAATTACATTGAATAATTACTGTGGCTTCAGTCACTTCTCTGTCAGCAGGGAAAGAAGAACCAAAACCAGTTAAATGAAACTCGAACAGTTTCCTTCACAACAGTTAGGTATTGTCTTTATAGACAACGCTGGCCTGCTTATCATTAGTATGACTGCATGTCTATTTATTCTTTGCCTTTCACGTTATTTGGTATGCATTTGTCTGCTGTTTCCCGATGAGTCTTTCAGAGCAGGTTGCAGTGTTTCAAACAGTTGCATCCATCTGCCGTTTGATGCCACCATCATGTGAACTTTAAAACAACAGCTTCATGACGCTGGGCAGAAATAAAAAAACCGTATGCCCCGTGCACTTTTCTTCTGCTGTCAGTGTCTGTTTTTAGTATTGCCAAGTGCACATACTATTTCCTTTCTGACCATCCTGCCTAGTGGCCAGATGTCTCAGGGAAGAGCCCCACTGAAAGTGACAATGGGCAGGCAGAGGAGGGAGCAGAATGTGGAGTTGAGAGGCTGGATTTGAGCTGAGCTCGGAGCTTTCCTTAGCCTCCAGTCAGTGGAGCTGTCGGGTTTATAACACACGGATATGTCACATCTATACAGTATGGGAGAAAGGAAGATGTTTGGGTTAGATAAATAACAACACTTTCAAGGTTTGTAACTTCTGTGTGGATGGTGTAAATATGTTTATTCAGAATTCATGTATGTTCCCTGAAAGGAAAATGTGGTTCTGTCGGCCAAAGATGCAGATAAAACAAGAAATTTCAGTTCAGAAACGATTTCTCTGACATGTGAAACTCCTGAAATAATAGATAAAGGGAGCTTATCGAGAGGAGCTAGCACTTCTTGGCAGAACCATTTTGTTTATTGGTTGGTGGTTTACTGCTTCTTACCAGACACTATGTATGTATATGTCATCTGCGTGTGTGTATATCTGTGTGTGTCCACACCTTGTAACACTCTGCAGTATTTTTTTCTCGTCCTGGTCCAGACATACAGCAAAGGTTGTGTTTTCAGCACCGCTGACCTGCACCTTGTCCACCTTCACCTCTGTTGTGCTCAGCTGCTATGAAAGGCAATAAACAGACTACAATTAATACATTCCACCTCAGATATTAACATTTTGGAGAAGTAAAATGCATTTTTTGCAGCTCCTTTTAAGTTGTTATACTTTTGATTTTGAAACACTTGTTTTGCGCTGAGTTGTAAAGAGAGAATTTAGCTAAAACTGATTATTTTAAACAGGTATGCAATCATCTGAGAACAAATGTTTCAAGTCAAAATAGAGTCAGTGGTGAGCAAATAATATTATTGTCAAACACACACAAGCAAAAGAGTATTTCCTGTGTTGTGGCTTTACGTTTCATAGAGCAGTCAGGTTGAAATAACGTTGTTCTCAGCATACGTGATGAGAGATTTAGGTCAGGTGAGTTTGAGATGCTATCGTAATGTACTGAGGTCTCTGTCTTTAAATAGAGAGTTGCAGAGATGTATGTAAAAGCATGCTGCATTTGTTTTAACCACCAACCACCGTGAGAGGCTGATGTCACGTATACTGTAGCTCACCTGGTTGTAGCCCTTCTTGCATTTACCGCTCTGCCTCTTCAGGACCTCAGTCATCGTGAGCTGTAGGCACTCCATCTTTGCGTCTGAAAGAGAATGCTTTAGTTAAAATTTGAATACACCTAGACAAACATTTCATCATTGCCTAAAGCAGGTATCAAGGAAAACATAAAGGAATTTCCTTTTAACATTAGCTTGAGCACAAACAGTCTAAATGATTATTGAATAAAAAACGTTTTCTTCATAAACAATAATATTCCATGAGGTTGAATTAACACATATTTCAATCCAGCAAAGTTTGACAAATCATTATGGTAGCCAGTGGCAGATGCGTACCTAGTTCCTCGGGATTCTTGCATGCTTTGGTTAAATTTACTGACGTACAGACTTTGGTTTCTCTTTTCCACTGGCTTCTCCCACTGATCACCACCTGGGAGGACAAGAGAGGATAACATTGCTGTTTTGGAAAAACACTAAACAAATGAGAAAGGATTGATGGGAATTTTGAATTGGAAACAATATTTCCATCTGCAGGAATGTGTCTAATTGAAAAAGGGGAACAGATAATGAATAACATCAGTAAAAAGGAACATAATGTTGACATGTCTCTAATGCTTCCTACCACAGGGACCACAGAGGCTCTAGCTTTATCAGGAAATGGCTTCATGGATTTAGCAGACTTTGTATTTTGTGACAGAATTTGGAAGTGTCATTTATTGTGCGTTGAAGCATAACCATAACCGAAACTGATTGGGATTAATAGGGGAAACCTGCATCGTCATCGTTTTTTTTTCTGCTGATATAATGATTTATTTATTGTGTTATTTCTTGTAGAGTGCAGTTTAAATACATTATTTTTCAGAGAGTACAATAATTAACAATCTTACCCTGTTGGATACCACCTCCAACTTCAGGGGCACTGCTTCTCTGTCACCGTCAATACCAAACCGTTTACTGGCAGCGCCTTTTTAAAGAGAACATGAGAGCAGTGTTTCAGTTATTCTCGTTAAAAATAATGCTACAATACTGTGAAATATGATAACAAAAATCCAGGCTTATGAACAAGTACAGCTCAGGATTTTTGCATTGTGAAATTAGTTTTAAATACAGCGTTAAATATAGAATAATATTACATTTGCAATGACAGATAATTTAGTTTAAAGAATATTTTGAATAATGGAATAGGTCATTTTCTCTGTAACTACCGGACATGAGGCATACAGAGCTTTCCCCGAATTTTGACTTCCTAAAACTGAAATAAAAAATCAGAAGTGCATGTGGTGGCGACAAGTAAAGCTAAAAAAGTAGAAGTAGACTGAATCATGAAATAGAAATAACAGATGTTCCGCCACCATAAATGGAGTCCTGTCTCAACCTCATAAATACTTCCATGGAAAATGTGGAGGTTTTTATTTATTGTGTCACTGTTGCTAGGATATGAGCGTGTGTTCTGCTTGTGTGTCACACTCACCCATGGCCTTTATTGCTCGTGTTCCTGCAGTGTGACCCAACTCTAGGGAGTGGACGAAGACCTCAGTCCTCCTCCCTCCACCAGCTAATGTCAGCTGCAACACCAAAGATCTTCAATCAATGTATGGCTTTTGAACAGTGTAACATCTCTTAATGCAATGCCCCACAGGGCTTCAGGGCAAATCTGTTCACAAGGGTGCTAAAATCTGGTCCTTTATATAATGTGTTGTTGCTTGGTATGTGTTTTTTGGTGTAAAAATGTGTCACCTCGGCCTGATAGAGCTGGATGAGGGTTGGCCGGGAAGCGTTGCGGCAGTAGTACAGGACCAGATCGGCCAGGATGGGCAAACGCTGCTCATATGAACTATCATATGACTCTGACTCCGTCTTTGAGGTTTGCTGCAGAGCAAAACAAAAACAACATAATACTCATGATTTATGGAAGAACAGCCTAAACCAAACATTGGACATTTATGTAATGAGTTATTGCTCTGGGCTTGATCTATCTGCATGATAGCAATGTTGTGGCAACATACAGCACTAGACTAGGGTGTGTTTCAGTTTTGGCAGTGTAAAAGTTAGATTCCAGTTGTACCTGGCAGACGACGTTAGCAGGCAAGTTCATCAGGCTTAGGGTGTTTCTTTCGTACCAAGGGTCCAACATACCAAGGAGGTTGGCAATGTCATTAGTGCTGTCCCCTGTGGCCGTGAGGTGGGGATCCTGGTTAAACAAAAGCATACATTATAACAGTGGAATTTTCACATCTCTCTGTTAACTCAACTGTACAGCTCTGCTACTTACAGCTAAGTAAATACATCTTGTTCTCAAAGTATAGTATTTAGTTGGAGAAGTTTTCTACTTACATTAGACAGGGCTGCTCCTTTGGGACTTTGAACCACAGGACCCTGAGACTTCAAACTCCCCTGCCCTGCTGCAGAGTCCCTCTTCACCGGCACAAAGTAGAACTGAAGCCTGAACACCCTGCTGAGACGCGGACACGCACTCTCCTTCCTCCTCAGGC